ACATATAGAAAATAATTCAGCCATCCCACAAGCTAATGTTATTTGTTTAATATAAAAAGTTTCTTTAATTTCAGACTGAAGTAGCAACTGAAAAAAAAACCAGTATAGTGCTTCTAAAGGCCTAGCGTTTCAGTAATCATGCAACAAGACAGGGACTTGTCCCAGTTATCTCCTGTTAGCTTCCTGTTTTACTAATGACCACCAGTTTTAATTCAGAAATATAAAATCAAAGGGTTTCAAACAGAGCTTCTATCCCACCACTTCGTGTAGTCTTTAAACTGTATCACAAAATTCACCATGATTAATTACAATTCATTTACCACAGCCTGCCACAGTGCTGTGGGATACAGCTATGATTAGAATCTTTATTCTGTTTTCCCATTAAACTGTGAAATCCATTTTTTATGGTACTTCATTGTCTTTCCTTAAAATAATCTCTAACTTTTCAAAAGTGCAAAACCCATAATTTAATGCTAGTTGTCTGATGAGAGAAAGAAATAAATGGCAATTTGTTAGGAAAAAATCCAAAGGTTTACTTATTCCTTTCTCTTTTTTTTGCACTGTATTTAACTAATTTGCATCTTGAAATTTAGACCAACACACATAACAGACGTAGGTCTTAAAACACCCTGCCGAAGGAGATTTAAAATTTCCTGTTTATATTACATTCTTCAGTAGCCTATTTTGTATTTTAAATCCAATAAAATAGAGTAGGCATCAAACACGGAGCATTTTATCACAGAAATTATGAAAAGCTAACTCACTTGGAATGCTGTTGGACACAAATTAAGCAGAAATAAATTTATTTCCTTTACTAAGACACAAATTTCAGATCTTACCTGGTATAAATCTGTCTGTTGAATTCAGTCAGTGACTCTGACCTACCGTATCTGTTTCAAACATGTAGCCTACACTCTTACAACCTGCAAGTAGCTGCTGTAGAGACAAGCATAACCTATTACTAACTAGATGGTTATTAGCAGTTGCACCACTATTATGTAAAAATAATAAAACGTCTTCAAATGTGAAAGCTTAAACTCACTAATGCTACTTGAATTCTTTTCTTCTGCTCTTCCAGGGAGAGGAATATTTTATCAAAAAGAAGCAGAATGCAAATGTGATTTTTTCCTCATTGTTTCCAATCTGAGGTTAATGTTACTGAGTTTTGCCAAATGAAAGTTCAATAGTAGTAGGACTGAAAGAGGGTGCTTATCTCTGCTATCTTACATCAACAGGATATGGATCTCTAGTTTTCCAGGAGCTCTAAACTGATACTGAATTAAATAACTTTATAGCATGGCAGTGGTTTGTTTCAGATCAATGAGCTAGGTTCAGAACAGACCAGGCTAGACAGCACTTCTTGATTTAGACATTAGAAGGCCAGATGAACCTCAGGGGAATGTTTCCTGCAGTATTCCTTGGGAAGTTTAATCATTCCTCACCCATCTTCTCAGGAGTGCTAGTGAGTGTTAAATATAACCATAGAGAAGCAACCAGTGAATAATGGATGGTTAATTACACTCATTCTTGAAAATACATATAGCTATGAGAACAGCAGATAGAAGCCAAAGCTCTTAAAAAACTTCACATTACTTTAATCTCTGGGACAAAAGTAGAGTCAAAAAAAAAAGTAGTCAGGAGCATTACAGATCAAATCTCATGGTAACTCCAGGCTTACCTCAAGAAGTATAAGAAAAAAATCATGGACTTCCATAGGAGGTAGACAAAAATCACACAACAGCTGTTAGTTTAAACAGTATTAAAATAAAAAGCAAGTGGAACTTCATACTTGTGGTGCTCTCTCTTTAGCTAAGAAGTATTTTATTCTATGAGTCATCCCATTGGGACTGGCATCAATACAAGTATCAGAAACTGGATCATAATGAAGGAACAGTAGACAAAAAGAATAATAATCCCTTCATATTTATTTCAGCAGTCAAGAAGACTGGAAAGAAGAGAAAAATACTTGCTGGTATTTAAGATTTTTTATTCAAAAGCATTACTTCCTTAGGGAAGGCTTTGTAACTGATGTGCTGGAAAAGGTGACCTTTAGCATTACTGCTACCATTTAAAATAAAAATTTTTCGTATACTACCCAAAACTGAGTTACATGCCCAACAATGTGCAGAAGTAAGTTGCTAGGTAGGTCCCCACCCAGAAAGTTTAGTCTCCAGGTCAGTACATGGCAAGTGAGTGCAATCACAATTAAAGGGCAAAAAGTAAAGAGTAGCATAAACAGCCCTGCACAATAACTCAAATGAATTATTGCTAGCAATCCTATTTTGTATCATAACATATTATATGCACTGTACCTCATCATATAAGTTCCTCTGTTACAGAAGTTACTATAGAAGGGAGTGTTTAGAATAGACTCACAAAGCTGTCTCTGAGCTGCAGAAAGAACCTCTTCCATCTTTGTCCACCCTCAACCCTCAAGAAAACACAAATTCATTGACAAAATCTCATGATGGAGGAAATTTTCCATGCTAGTTTTGATAGTGGAGGGCAAAAGACTAATATCCATCTACTCCACTGCATGGAAGAAGCAGTCGTTCTCCAACCTCCCTGGCATATAAAGGAAAAATAGAACTTGGCCTGGAAAAGAGATGAGGTGTGAATGTGATGTACAAAACCAAAGAGTACCATGGAGGGGGCAAATACAAAAATGGCTTATTCCTTTTCTTCCACACTATTAACAGGAGGTATGAAATGAAGCTGGCAGTACTACACCTCAAGACAAACAAAAGAAGATTCTTCTCACAGTTGTATAATTACAGTGTGTTTGATACAGGATTCTGGGTGTGCTAGAAATGTGCATGAGTTCAGGGAGAGCTTGGACATGCTCATGGAAGAGAAATTTGCAAAAACTTCCAAGAAATGGAGAGTCAGCACTTTGTGGCTTGTTACTTCCTACACAGGTCCCAAATCATACTGGAGTAGTGAACTCCATTAAAGTGAGAAGTTTTCTAGAAGCTGACACAGAAGTGCTGACGTCTAACAATGCTGCTGAGAGATGAGCTTTGCTGGTATTAGTAAACTAGCATAGAAAACCCATTTCATGCTTGTCTGCTGGAGTAAATCCTCTGACTAATTTGTCAGAAATATGAAGATGCTTTGCTCTCCCAGTAACCTTGTCTTAAGCACTTGTGGATTGCTGTGGTGTCTTGCTGGCTGCTGAAAGGTGATATGAACATTGCTGAATAATAACTTAATGTGTTCTGAGAAAAGCCTAGAGAGGTTAAGCTCCAACTGATGTTCAATACTAGCTGGAAAGATGATTTATAGGAATTGCAAAATACATTTTTGCATCTAGGACATGAGACGATGTTTATATTATTGGTAAAATCAAACCCCCTTAAATATGTTATTCTACTTTTAATTGGCAACATCACTAAATCTTTTAAGCCATCTGAGATCTTCACCACCATGCTGTTGAAGTCCATGTTGCAGCAGAGGGCTGAAGTACAGTTGGGATTACAGTATCAGTTTCCAGAAAGGCTCCATAATGTGGTGGGTAATTCTGGTTTCTTGAGCTCCTGGTCAGGATTTTCATTTGCTGAATTCTATTAGTGAATGGTTAACTGACCAATTAGCACTCTAGCAGCCTTTAATTATTTGAGCAGAAAATAACTCAAATGACATTTAATATGAATAATTCAACATATTGCTGGAGTAACTTAGTCGTGAAGAAATAAAAAAAAAAAGCAACAAAAAAAAACACTCCTTGAGCTATATACTAACCTTCCTTCTTAATTTTCTGCTAGGGTTATAGAGCACAGAGATAGAGGATTTTCTTCTACAATCTGCATCTGAAGAAATTAACCTTTCAAGGATAAGCAAAAAGAAAAAAAATAATTTTAAAAAAGAAAAGTCTGGAAATGTTTTTGTACGTAGAACTCTGAAGAATCACTTTAACCCAATTCATATTTGTATTTGCCAGATGTGAGATAATCCCTTCCACTGACTGATGACTTCTACCAAAAGGGAGTCTCCCCCTTGTGTACACCCTTGGCTTAGGAGATATCTAGTAGTCACCTAATATAATTAAAGAGTTTAACTTTAAAATGTTGAGATAAGAGTTTCTTATTTGTGTCTACAAAGAGTCATAGAATCATTTAGGGTGAAAAAAAAACTACACAAAGATTTCTAGGAAAGCCTCATCAGAAGTGGCAACATAATAATATAACAACAATATAATACTATGTGAAAAGACACAATTATCAAAATACTAAAAACTAAAATTACTGCAATTAATACAATTTAACTATGAAGAGTCATGGAGATTGGATGTAGTAACAATCTGCCCAAGGAACTATTCTCCCCTGCTGAAGGCATTTGTCATCTTTTCAAAGAAAAGTCAGGTAATATGTTCACTAGCAAAAATATAGATAAGAGCTACAAGGTGAACAAATAACAAATGAAAGACTAAGCAATTTTATTTTTTTTATCATGTTTTATCCTTCTGTCTTCTTTCTGCCTTTTCTCAGGTGACAGCTTAAACCTTGCAAACATACATGCTAGCTCAGCTCAAAACACTTTGTGTTTTGGTGTTGTAATGGTAGACTTGACTATCGAATATGAATTTGAAAACTTTGTGTAAGACTGTAAATTATTTAAGGGAGGGATCAGCTCCAGGAAGGATGGTTTTGCTTTTAAAACTCTGGAGTAGGACCCAAAAAATGGGCTGTGCTACAGTCTTCCAATGTGATGTCAAGTCACTTGAATCCCAACTTGGAAACACAGAGAAGAGTAGCCCAGCCAATGGCAAGAGCCTTGCTCCCAACTTTGAAAGGTTCTGTGTTTTTTTCAGGGTTTACATCACACTTCCCAGCACTTTTTAGCTTTAAAAATAATTACTGGTGGATGACAAAAACACCCTGTTTGAAACTTTGCATGAAAGAGGTGGAGTCACAAAGCAACTGGTCTGACCTGGTTTGTGTTATCTCAGCTGAAGTATGTTGACACAAGATCTCTTTTGGCACTAGCCTGCCAAGTCACAGATGCAGCTGGGAAGCCAAGTGTTGTGGAGTAGTGGTGAGGTGAGTGTTCCTCCACCACATGTCCTCAGACAGCAGGTGCAGTGCTGTCCTGCTTCACTCCAGGCTTCTCAACAGGCTTCTGCAAGGCTTGCTGCAATCAACAGAGAGGTGGACCCAAAGAACTTGCTTTGAGCTTTGCTTAGGTAAAAATGGGATGCGTTTGAGCCAAGAACATCTAAGGAACTGAAAAAAGGTGCATTGTGATAAGGTAGGGGTATTTGATGAGTGGTTGGAGGAGAGGAAATGGGAGCTTGAACCTGCAGTGGGTTTAACAGGGATGAATTCTTTGCGTCTGACACTGGGTTGTGGACTTCAGGGGACTGGGGGAACTGGGGAGGCTGGGAGTGAGGAGGTCAGGAAGGCCATGCAGGGCTCTGCATGTGTGTGGCTTAATGGGGAGTCAGGGTCAGATTTTGGAGTCTTCTAACTCTAAATTAAAAAATATAAAATTGGAGTCTCTAAAAAAATCTAATATTAGAGTTTTCTAAGAATCATCTTCTTTCCTTTGACAATAAGTTACTGCTTAAAAGGCTTTCTATCCTTCACCTTGAGGTAAATGGCTGGTTCAATTTACTCCAATACTTGCCTCTCAGCTGGTGGTTAAGTGATCAAGCAGATCCAGGCTGATAGCAGCAATCAACATGAGTTTTCAAGACTATCTATATGATTTGGAAACACAAGTTTACTTCTGGGTTCTTTTAAACACAATCACTGGATAGCAGTTCTATGAGTAACATTTCTCTCAAATGCTAGAAGTAACCTCAGTCTGTAAAAATATGTTCTTGCAAATCCTTTAAGAGTTTTATTTGATTGTCTGCAAATTGCAGCTCTACAGAAAAAAGAAAGCTCCTGTTTGTCAAGGTCAGGAAGACAATCTTAAAGAGATACTTTAAGGATATCCTGCATATGCAAAATCTCCATGGCAAACAGAAAGAATACCAAAGGAAAACCTGGGCTGAAAACCTCTTGAAATCTGGTTGTCTTTAAGGAAGTGTTGATTCTTTTTGGTCAAACTCTTTAAATTCCTGAAGTAATCCTGTGGCCACTGTGACATTTTAATTGTTTATTTTTAATGGGTCAAGGGTACCCTTAGGTGAATTCCAGGCTCTACTTTTAATAATGTTTGAATTGTGTTCTTATTTTCTTTAGATGTTTGCAGTATGGATCACTACTCTTTTTCTTCTCAGAGCAGCCAGAGGTAAGACACATGGATGATACAGTCTATAAATGGTAAAAAGTGTTGTGTGCAGCTCACACCAGAATTTCTATCTTTAAGAAAAAAAAAAGATGTGGTTTGGAAAAGATTTAACATGCTTCTTCATTAGGAGGACTGAGGTATATATTTGTCACATTTAACCTATTACTTTTTAATTCGGTAAAGGTTTTTGCAGCTACCACAAAGAATGAGAGTTAGAAAGGTATTTTTACATATGAATTGCTACTAAAATTATTCCAGAAGAGTTTCTCGTACACACTCTCAACCCACATCAACATTTTGGACAGCTACAACACTTGTAATGCCAGCCTAGGCACTTACTCTTTACAGCACTATGCAGAAAACAAGAAAACAGATCTGGTCCAGAACACCTCTTTACTGGTAGGAGAGAATAGTCAAACAGAAGTGGACATGAAGAAAGAGCAGCAAGAAATAAAAAGATACAGTCCAAAAGTTCAATGGCATCAGAGGAAAGAACCCTGTGAAAATGACTGGGGCACTTGTGAAGTCTCTAACTGCAGCTCCACAATCAAATCTTCTCTTTCTCTGGGTGTATTTCCAGTAGATATCACTCTCCTCCTATGTTTCATACAGAGCAATGAATAGAGTAAGTCACAGTCTGATGTAGTACAGAGCTGTCACTTATACTAGGTAATAATAGTTTCTCATTGTTTTCAGTATCCTTTTAATAGCAATAAAAATTATATGAGATTTCACAACCGTTGTGTTACAATATAAGCATGACATTTAATGGCAACACCCATATGTCATATTTGCATTATTATTGTATTAAAGCCACAGTAGAAATTGGGAAACTCTAGTCCTTCACACACAGACCACACTTCTCAAAGCTGTACTTTGCTCTAGGCTTCCCCTTAGATTTCACTGTATTGCTTCCACTAAAATCTTATGGTGATAAAAAAAAAGAGAGATGTTTAGCTTATGTTATGGAGCAATCAAAAGTATCTGTTTTAATACTTTGGTTTTCTTTTTTTACTTCTTCATGATTTGTTGCACAAGAAATAACAATTTAGATAATCCCTGGAACATCAGGACTAATTTGAAGGAGTGCTCTGTGCCTGCAGCAAAAACTGATTTGTTCTCTGGATCTGTAAAGGATTGAGATTTTATTGTCTTTTTCTGACAGCTGTGCTAACAAGACATTTGACCAAACACATCCTGCATTCTCCTGAGTTCATCAAGCTGAGCTCTACACTGTATCTGCAGCATGAATCAGTATTGAAGTTCAAGTCCTTGCTGCATGCACAAGGCACAAGAACACAACCGAGTCCCTTACTGAAAATGAACACAAGTGCCATCCTGATCTGAAGCAGCACCTTCTGTGTCCCCTGCATAAACACTATCCTGCCAGCTTCTTGGCAAGTGGTGGCAGCCTAACCTGCCAAGGTTCCCACAACACTAACGTTTTCCTTTGCACACTCCAGGAATAGAAGTTTGCTATGACAGGCTTGGATGTTTCACAGATGACGCCCCTTGGTCTGGGATCCCAGGGAGACAGCTGGCAGGCTTGCCCAGCTCTCCAAAAGATGTGAACACCAATTTCCTTCTTTACACTAGAGACAACATCATGAAACACCAAGTAAGAAACTGCTTTGGTTTTAAATACTGATAGTATACAACACGTTCTGCAAAATTATATGAACGGTTTATTTCTCCCATATTTTTGCTCCTAAGTCTCCCAGGAGAAGCCTTAATTCTATATGATACATGAACAGCCCATCATAATTTCCTTCCATCTTTTTTCTGTTTCCTTATTTCAGCTCCCTTATGAGCCAGGTATATTTACAACATATTAATCACAGACTTCTAACACAAGTCATCTGAGATATTTTGTATGTCTATTACACGCCTCTCTACAGTAAACTGATGGCCCAAATTCAGTTTCAGAAGGAAGCAACCAAAAAGAGAATGAAATGGGGATGGGAAAAGAAAACAAATATTAATCATCTTTTTGAAAGTCTGTGACTGAGGGAAAAGAGACTAAAAAGCTGAAGACTTGGTAATACATACCACGGAGAGAGCTTGGAGGTTTCTCTGTAAGAGAGATGAACCAGGTTATCCCTCATGAAGACACATCAGGTGAACTGTAGAGACATCAGACTTGGGAGCTGTATGGAGGAAAAAAAATAAAAAGGGGAGCCTGCAGGGCTGTTTAAGATGGATCAAATGGGAACACAGAAAGACGCCAGCAGTGTCAGCCCTTTCCTCTGGAGATCAGCAAGTACTGGGCAAAGCTCACAGCAGGACACTCAGGGTGTTAGAGGTGGCTGGGCTGGGCTTGTCCACAGCATGAAGCAGTTTTGTGGAGCTATAGACTAGTCTGGTGAAAAAACAAAAATGCCCATAAGAGAGTGTGAATTTTATTTGGACAAAGAACAAGAAAAATTAAGCTAATTAATATGAAAAAGGGGGGAGGGAGGGGTGGAATTTGTTTCTGTTGTTGGCATTCATTAAATGAAAAATGCTTCATAGTTATTTTTTTAAAATATAAATGGCAGTCACAGACAGTGGAGGTGTTTAATGATTTCTCCTGTTTGGGTCACCTCAGAAAACATCCAACACCTCTAGCTGAGAGCCTATGAGGTTTTGACTTTAATCAGTCTTTCACTGAAGGTGAGATGTGTGCTATTTACTACATAACATCTTTTAAGACTAGAAAACAAAAACAAAAAATAAGTAAGAGCCAAGTTTTAAAGCAACCCAGTATTCAGAATGTCTTGAAAAGGGAATAATGCCTTCTTTCTCAGTAAACCCTCAAATAACTACAGCCTCTGATGTTGTAAGCCATTGGTGGGCTTTCTCATAAAATATAAATTAGCTTAAAGGTGAGGGTTTAATCTTCAAAATAAAAAGAAAGAAAAATAGGTAGATTTGAAGTCAAACACCTAATGCCTGGCAGAAGATGCTACCTTTGTATTTCTATGGCCAAGTTTGATAAAATCTTGTATTTACATGGCATGTTGTACCAATGTATCTCAAAGCCTTGTGCAAAGGATTCCTGTATCACTAGCTCAACCAATCAGAGGAAATGAATAATTTCTTGAAGTGATTTATTGATATCTCCCAGCAAGGCAGCTTACAAGTGAGGAACAAGACCCATCTCTTTAGAGTCCAGAACTATACCTTAACTGTTGGGGTACTCTGCCCTGTATCAAATATATACTGGCATGGAGCAGTCACAGCCTTGTTGACTTGTTTGTTGGTTGTTTTTTTTGACACAGAAAATTTCTGCCATAATCCCGTCAACTATTAAAGCCTCAAATTTCCGACCACACAGGAAAACTCGCTTCATTATACATGGCCACCTTGTTGGAGCAGATCTCTCCTGGATAACAAATATATGCAGGGTATGGTATGACTATCACCTGACAGTCATTTTACTTGTATTTCAAAGTGCAAATACCTACATCTCCCCATTAACTGGCTTAAATTCCCACATAAAATTTAAATCTCTGTTACCTTATTAAGTCAAAGAAAACATAAGGGAAAAAACCTGAGAATGAAGTTCAGTTCCACATGACCACTCTCTCTTTCCTATCTGGGAGTAATAGTCAGCCTAAGCTAAGAGCTAAGTGCCCTTTTCCTGCATTCACCTCTGCAGGGAAAGCTATCATTAATTCTTTTTTTTAATTCCTTGCCAATAGTAAAGAGCAAAAATAGTCACTTTTCTCACCTTAGCAAAAGGTCAAAATAAACATTGCAGTTTGAGTGAGGCGTTTGATCTGATAAAATCAAAACACTTTGTTCAGCAGATTGGTTTGACTTTATTTAGGCACATCTCAAAAATGAAATTATTTCAAGGAAGAAAAATCCAAATGTTCCGTTGCCAGAAGAGTAGAAACAAAATATTGTGGTTAAAATATATGAACTTTGGGGCTGAACAACTCAAGCACTTGAATGCAGGTTAATGAATCCTTTTAGATGACGCAAGCATGTAAATTTTGAAGAATTAAAGCTTGGACAATAAAAAAGAAGTCATGCTATCTTCTTTTTCTAACTGGAGTACTGTCATTAAGAGAAGGCGATACCCTTCAGGCAACCAAGGCATCTGGAATGGAAAACAGAACTGAAGCAATCTTCTGTGGCTTTTTAGTGTTCAAAGCACTGCCTCCACTCTGCCTCCATGTGTTCATTCTTCAGTATTACTAGAAATTAATATACTGAAGATGTGTTTTTACCAATCTCACACACACCCACACAAAAGAGTCACCAGCTACAGCAAAACACAGTATTGTTTGCATACACCCTGCTGCGACTGTAATTCATGCTCGTTGGCTTCTGTTCTCCTGTTCTCACGTTTTCCACCAGTTCATGTTTCACACAGAAGATGTGAACTGCATTTTGACCGACTGGCGAGGCGGCTCCAGTGGTTTGTACACCGACGCGGTGAACAACGTCCGCATCGTGGGGGCTGAGCTGGTGTACCTGGTGAACCTTCTTGAGGTAACACTACCCGTGGAATGGGAAAGCTGGCACGTGGGCTGGATGGTAAAGACTGTGTTCAGGATGGCACCTTTACGTTAGATGCAATAGAGTCAGGAAGTACAGAGGTACTCAATACCGCAGCTGAAAATGCCATAAAAAGCCTCTAATCCTTCACAAATGGCAATACCTACTTTAGTGTCAGACCACAGGTAAGGATGTCCCTAAAGTCTTACAGGCCACAGTTTCAGAAAATTCTGCTCTTGATGGGCTTCTTATTGGATAGGACACCAGACTGGAGACTGTCTGATACAACTGGCAGGGCGAGGAGCATTAATAGATCAATACAGTTAAAACATCCCTCTGTGGGTCACATCCTGCCTCCTGCAAGAGCTGAAGCACAGCACAGAGAAGCCACTCTCCTGCAGGTATCAATGTCAGGCTGTCCATACAGAAGCTCAGCTGAGCCTGGCACACCAGCAGCGCTCCTGACATGGTCCTCCCTGTCCTGCAGGACCTGTGTGGTGGAGGATCTCCACACCAGAGCAGCCACATGATTCACACAGAGGGTATGCCACAGACAAAGACACTGAAAACAGCTCCACCGCAGACCACAACCCTGACCACACAGACGACTTTGGGGGTGAGGCAGTGGGGTCATTGGCCTTTTGGATAAAAAAAAATTCTAGGTGCAAATCAGTGTAAATCTAGGGGAGATAACTGCAGAAATTCCTCCTTCATTTTTTTCTGCCATAAGGGCCAACTCCTGACAGAGATTACAGCCTGCCAGAGGTGTGATGTAAGAGGGGATGGGATAGGTTTGGAACAGCTACCACGACCCACAACAGTAACTTCCCACCCAAGACACTCCTTTCTGTCACCTGCTGGTCTGGTCATGGGGCCATGATGCAGTGCCACAGGCTTTTATCCCTCACTTCACACACTTGGTTTCTCCTTTCCATGCATCTTCACAGAAGGACTATGGCTACTCTCCTGCTGACATTCACTTCATCGGCCATAGTCTTGGAGCACACGCCGCAGGGGAGGCAGGGAGAAGGAAACCTGGCATTGGAAGAATAACAGGTACTGAAGCTATCTCAGCTGATGAAGCTTTATACTTTCACACAATTTAAAAGAACTGAAGAAACACTGCTGGCTTATGAACGCACAATACAGACCACAATGGGCTCGTTTGCCACAATTAACAGGATACAGCTAGGATGCTGCACACCTACACAGAGAGTTAGTAGCCACACAGAGAGACAGCATCATAACACACTCACACAACACTTATTCTAAAGGCTCATTGTTTTCTGCTTTCCTTCCTCCTCCAGTCAGTGCTCTCCTCTGCACAGACACTGCCCTGACTAAGCTGTGTACACAGTAAACAGTCACATGAGCAACTCAGGAAATGAGGAGCTGACCTGTGCTGCTTTAGCCTCAAAGACAGCTCACTGACACTGAAGTAGAGAGGTAACATTTTTAACCAAGATCTGTTGGAAATAATAATAGATTTTTAACCAAGTAAAATTTCTCTAACAAATCTTACACTCTGAGTAATATATCAAAGTTTCAAATTTTCCACTAATATAGGAAAAAAAAAAACCATCAAAACAACCAAACACTCAAACCTCTTTTATAAAATTGTTCTCCAACAGTAAATCAAACACCCAGCAGCATTTTACTGCCTCCAGCAGTACCTTTTACAATGCCTCCAACCACCCTTCTATTAAAAGCTTGCTTTTATTTTGCTGGCTGTGGACTACAAAATGGATTTTTATATGTGGAGTAAATGCAGAAATGTAATGACATGAAGTGTACACACACTGTATGTGATCAGATATACATCGTATTACTTAGGTATATCTCTATTTATTTAGGTTTGGATCCAGCTGGGCCCCTTTTCCAGTACACTCCCACAATGGTTAGACTGGATCCTTCAGATGCAAAATTTGTTGATATAATTCATACTCATGCTGGTCATCTTTTCTTTGACTTTGGTAAGTTTTCACACAAAGACTGACACAAATACAGAGGTCAGCCACAGCATACCTGAGAGTGGTCAGCTTTGATTCACTGTGCATTTCAGCTCCAGGGATTCTTCAAACTTGTGGCCACCTGGATTTTTACCCGAATGGTGGGAAGAAGATGCCAGGATGCAAGCAGCTTCGTGTACCTCCTGCAACTCGGAATATCAATGACCTTATGAGAGGTAAACACATTTTAAAGAAGTAATACCTCATTATAAGCTACAGTTAGAAATAAAGGCTAGGTTAAGGTGAAGCCTTTTGAATGTATATATTATTTATATAGATCAGATTTGTCCTAGGAGGGAAAGGTGAGAGGAGAATGTTCAAAAATAGAAGATATAAAGCTGCCTGTGAAATAACCTCCAATTTACTTTTATACAAACCCAGGCAAATTCCAGATGAAACGTAATTTAAAGCATGTAGACTTCTTCATCACAAACTGTACAAGAGCCTGCCACTGTGCTGACTGACCGACCTCAGGGGGAATTCCATACATGAAGGAATGTTAAAATTTCATTCAAGGATAATCCAGAAATGTGTAATTTAAAGTCTGAGCTTCCCTTTTCCCCTGAAAGATACCGGTCCCAGTATTACTGGGGTTAGACAGTCTCTCCTGTGTCATTAACAGCTTTAGTGTCTTCAAAGGGAACAGCACAAGGTTAAAAATACAGAAGATGATAAAATGACTGGTCCATTGGTAGTTCATGTTCTTCAAAGAAAGCTGGGCAGTTAATCAGAATTACCCTGGGATCCAGTACAATAGATCCCCCAAATCCTGTCTTCTGATCCTAACCTACAGAAATGAGAACATCTGTTATTCACAGCTAAATATTTTTAAATCCCTGTCACAAGTTAACTAATTAGCTTTCAAAAACGCTCTTAGAACTTGTTGGAGAACTTAGTAAGAAAGAGGACTGAAAGCTGGCTGTGCATGAACTCACTTGGTACTGAAACACTTTCCATTCGGATTGCTAAGAATGTCTGCATTTTCAGAAAAAAAAATAGGTATTTTTCAGAGACATTTCACAAGGCTATTTGCAATGTTTTGTGGTGAAGAAGTTCAGCTCTATTGAACATGAGCAGTTGGAGTTGGTTGTTCATGCAACTCCAAAAATAGAGACAGCCTTAACTCCTGCCTCTTGGTTAAACCTTACTTTGTACATATCTCTTCTGTTTGATAATATTTACATTTATGTAGTGCTTTTATGTATGAATTGCTTTAGAAATGCTATTTAGCAACTCATTTCTACAGCTTTTGAAGTAGCAGGGAGAGAAGTATTATGTTCCCATTATATAGATGTTAAGTGAATTTAGCACTAGCACAAAGTAAGCCAGGCATAAGAGGTGAGGTTTTTCAAGTTAAAAACACAGACCCTTCTGAATTAAAGAAGGAACTATAAAGAAAACATACTCAGGAAGCCTTGAGGATGCAGATTATTTTCAAGCAAAACAGAGAAAAACAACTTTTCAGAGGGTTTTTGGTATGGATTTTTTCTTTCCTGCTGTAAAGTGCAATGTATCCCCACTGGTCAGCACTAGCTGGTCCGTCTTCAAGAGGCATAAGTATTGACAGGGGGGTGAAATTCTGATTTCACTATAAACTGTGGCAGCTTGCAATTATTTAGTGCCTCCAAGGCTTCACCCTGTGATTAGGCAAGTCCACATGCATGCTGAAGGAGAGTAGAGCTTATTTTTATACAACCTAACTTAGTATGTTGTGCTTTGATAAAGGAGAGACTTCAAGGCCACCACTTGTTGCAAGGGACCTGTAAATATAATCCAATGAGCACTTTCTTCTTTCCTGTACTGACTGGTTATAAATTTCACACTGATGGGAAAATGTATTTGTTTCAAATAATTCTCACAAAACCAAGGACACTGCCCAACATCTTGCTCTTCAGAGCATTTCACAGAATCACCATGAACAAATCATCCCAGAATTTCTAGAGCTTAAAAACACTGAAAGCCCCTGAAATTAAAATAATTACTACAATTACCTTTCATTTTAGAAATGAGTGGAAACTATGGTTTTACAAATACATGTTGCAATAATGGCAAGCAAATGAAAACTCCTTCCTGGTAATTACTATATGCTTTACAAACACTATAGGTATGAATTATTCCAGTCTTTGAAATATCAAAGGAAAGTTTTCTTAAATCCTCCTCAGTTCTCATGCTACAGTATAAGCTGTTAAGTACACGTAACAGGACAGGAGGTTATGCAAGGTCCACCTTGGTGCATCTTCACCTCTGTTAACTTCAGCTTGAGCATAGGGACACAGATTGGAACCTACCTCTTCTCCACAAAAAAAAAAAATATATGTAGTCATAAGTACACTTTTTACTATAAAATCAAATTATTCACATTTTAGACGTTGTTTAATTATTAGCATGTTTTTAATCTGAGACACTACAAATGCTTTTGAGAAAAAAAAAAAAAAGAAACACCACCACAAGTGTTTCTTTAGCATGGACTTTATGTTAATGTATAGCTTTAATAATTTTTACCTCGTCTTTTCCCCAGCATACAGATCTGTTGGATGTGGACATAAAAGAAGTCTCCGGTATTATGCTGAGAGTATTATCAGTCCACAGGGGTTTGTTGGGTATCGGTGTGAAACATACCGAGCTTTTGTACTGGTAAGTACCAGGTACAGATTTATCTGAGGGGCTGTAGCCCTGCCCTTCTTCTCTCAATACTTTCTGGAACAAATTCTACGCTCTGGATCATGGGATAGAGGGGGAACTATGCAGACTCTCTGCCTACCTTCAACCAGACCATAACCAAGAAATGCAAAACATAAAAGCAGCAAACTCAAAAAAAAGAAAAACAAATCCATTAAATATAAACATAGAGACAGTTACAAAGGGAGAGGTTAAGAGTCCAACGAGAGGCAGTGGCTGGGTCCACCTTTTGTGTAGGTCAGCCATACGAGACACTCTCTTTGAAGGGAGTCCATCTAAACCTGGTGGAACTCACCACCAAGAGGACAGCCTCTGAATTTCAGACATATTTAAACATCTGTATACGCAGTAAACAAGCAATAAACTCCCCAAAAGAATGAGTATGGTACTGCAGATAAGTTGTTCATGTTTGTATCAATGTTGTCAAATAACTTGAAAGTCTGTTGTAATTCAGAACCTGAAAACCTCAACCCTGTGCAATGTAGTGATGTGAGGGAAAAGTTTTTTTTCAATCTGATAACAAACAAGTGATGATGATCATTTAACCTTTCATTCATTTAAGCCCAAATAACCAAAGATCCAGAAATATCAGTTCCTACAGGACCTCCCAAATGTCAAAACTGAACTAAGTATAACTATGCTATTTTTCCAACTGAGTTGAAATACCTTAATTTCTTAAACTTTAAGAATCGAATTTACACCAGATAATGTCTTGTAACAGATTCTTATTTTCCGTCAGGGACACTGCTTCCCATGTCCAAAGGAAGGATGCCCACTGATGGGTCATTATGCGGATACGTTTTTACATAAAACTGAAAAAGAAGAGCAAAAGGTTTATTTAAACACAGGGCCCTCCCCTCCATATGCTCGTAAGTTTTGAGTGGTGAATTTTGAGTGGTGAATTCTAAAGTGGCGATTTCTACAGAGAACTGCTGGATTTAATGGGCGGTACCAAGCATAAAATCTAGTTTCAGGTCTGCTCAGAACATGCAGTACCAGCATTATTTGGGAAAGGCTGAGATAGCTATAGAAACAGATCAAATGATGCTGACCTCTAAGTTAGAAACCTTGCTAAAATTTTGTTAATTAAATGATGGCTTTAAAAATTCTATAAAGCAGAATATGGGAGGAATGCTATGCTGAAAGTGCAAAATTTCAAACTTAAAAAAAAAGTTACATTGGTTTTATTGACAAAAATTTACAAAACTGGATCATTTCAAGATATTTTTGCAAAGCTCAAGTCAAAACAGCAGGGAGTAATAAAAAATATAGTTTTAATTATGATTAATATAGAAGCAGCCACAGAAATGGGAAAATTCATAAATAAATTGTAAACCATCACAGATGATGAACTGCAAGGGCAATAAATGAGAGAGGGCCTTTGAGGTCCTTTGTCACTAGGCACTAAAATATGAAAGCAAAATTAAGAAAAACAAAATCTCCATATCATGCCTCCAAAAGAGCAAAAAGTCAAAATATTAATTTGAGTGTAGAGAAAATAGCCATTTATCAAATCTTAATGAATACATTACTTTCAAATTTATAAACTATTGAGTTTACACAAATTATAGCCTGAACCCAAATACAACCTTATGAAGCAGCTGAAGAGATTCTAATTTTAATAGCCTGAATTAAAGCCAGTACATATACTTCCCAAAGCTGGCTGCTTGAAATCAATATGTGCTATTACATCGGAGACCCTGCTGCTGCCTTAGAAACACATGGAAGGTGACAGGATTTCCTGACAGCTGTCAGGCTGTACACAGGTATAAGAAAAACCCCTAAACATTCCATATATCAGGATCATCCTGGGGAAAGAGCCAGTTTTGTTTAATATATCTTTTAACAACACAGCAGTTCAGTCAAACACACCTCAGAGTTGAGAGCTGACATCCTACCCATGAGACACCCCCAAACTGTTCATAAGTATGAGAAATTATGAAATTAAAAGTGAGGCCAAGTGGAAAAGCAAGGTACAGTATTTGCCGTGGCAGATTAAATAGTCAGCAGTCAGCAGGGCAGCAAAAATTGGATTTGAGATTTGGACCACTGTCAAGGAAATTAATGCTACCAGAATCAGACAGAGCTAATGCTTTCCTTAACAAAGAGTGACTTTCCCTGAAAGGCATTGAAATGTATAAGAACTTTTACCATTAGGAAAGAAATCTCCTTAAAATCGTAATCTATTTAATTTTACTTTCAAAGGCTGGCGAAAAGAGATACATGTCAGAATATCTGGAACAGAAACCATGAAGGCAAATATAGACGTAGCCTTGACTGGAACTAACGGGATCAGGAAAAAATATACAATTGACAAGTAAGTTTAACATGACTGTTAAAAAAAAAAAGGCTCTATCATTGTTATGTTGAATTTATACACAGCTATTTTACATGTCTCATCTTGTTCTATGTGAACTGTGATTTGCACTGTTAATAAAAGTAGCTGATAAGTGGTTAAAGTTCCTCATGCTCCAAATCGTGGTCAAAATCTGCCTGCTGGTCTCTCCTGGTCTGTATTTTTTTTTCTTCTTTAAGGATGACTCTTAGCTACCACCAAGCCTATGCTCTGGGCTGAAAAAGCCAGTCAAGTGAAAGCCTGTAATGGGATCCACAAGAACCTCCCTAAATAAGCATGAATGGTGTTTCCTCTACTTTCTCAACTAAGGTTAATATAGAGACTTTGTGGCCTTCACCAATTTGCCTGGCTGATATCTGCACCATAGACTTCAACCAAAGCAGGGGGAGAAAAGTGACTTTTAGTTCTCACAACAGCCTCCTTGTATTCAGGATAAATTCTGTTAGGAGAGATGAGGTACCCTCAGCACCAACACAACAGCTTCAGGAAAGGCAAAAATCACAATACTGATTTTGAGGAAGAACACAACTAAAATATGAATGAGCTATTGCTTCCTAATTCTTACACAAAAAAAGTTAAATGAAAAGTGCAGTTCATATACATATATATACATATATATATAATATATTTTAAGTTTAGCCCTGTTACAAATTTTGCCCAAAAATGCTTTTTATATAATTTATGTATGAAAAATCTAAGGTCCAAGAACTTTCTAAAAGACTTTGGTATAAGACTTTACTGACTAGTCAGCAGAGAGAACAGAACTTGATGCTTCTGGACCTGAGACATGATACTCTACAGCATGAGCTGAAAGACTCAGGTCTGCATGAGGCTCTCCATGAAGAACCCTGTGGTTCCCCAAAGAACATATTCTCCAAGGAATGTTCTAAGTTAAAATTTTGGCTAACATCCCTGACTGGTAATTCTTGGGGGAAAAAAAATTATAATAGTATTCAAAGCTTCAATTCTCATAGCATCCCACAGTTCATCTCTCTTTCTGCCTTAACTGTAGCACTTTTTTCCCTCATTTGTAAAGAACACAGAGCATCATTTCTGTGCTTTTCTTTTGGCAGGGGAACTTTCAAACCAGGCAACACATACATGAACTACATTGATACAGAAATTTCTGGGAACATTTCAAAAGTTGAGTTCCTCTGGAAAAAGCATCTAGGTCATGTAGATAGAGGCTGTATGGGAGCTGAAGAAGTCACAATAACATCTGGGGAAAATGGGAATGTGTGAGTACACAGTCTAATGGTCTTCCATTCTTTGGGTCTGGGAGGGAGAAACAACAAACAAATAAAACAAAACAAATGAAAACTAAAAAAAAAAAAAAAAAAAAAAAAAACAGAGAAAAGAAAAATGGATAAAATACTCCAAACACCTTTGCATGGTATCACGTTCTGTAAAACAAGTTGGTCTAACCCTCATTTTGTGGCAGTACTTGGGTGTTTGGCTGACTAGGTACTCCCAGCAGCTCAGCAATGCAGCCAGGCTTCCCCAAAAAACAGAAATACCAAATCTGAAGTTCCGTGGGGATGTACCCCTGTATTTGTAACAAAGGTACATGGTTTTCTTCTGAATTGCAGTTTCATGTGCCTACATCTCCAGCGGCCCACCGGCTCATAGCACAGCACATCAGAAAGGGCTCTGCACAGTGCAGCAGTTCAGTTGGCTTGGCAAGGTACTTGAGGCTGACTCCACCCTGATCCCATGGACCAGGCACCCACTGGCATCTGCATTACACTAGGTACACTCTGGAGCACACCTCCCAGTTTAGTTTTAACCAAAATGAATCCAGCTGATGTGTCCCAATACCACTCCATCATGCAAAACAAAGTGTGGTAAGTAGGCAAAATGGAGTGAGAGATTCCCTTCAAAAGTGCATCCCTGGTCCAAATCAAAACACTAATGGAGTCTGAGCATAAAGGCAAACATCTTAAATTTAACAATTAGTCACTAACCAGTAATTCTTTAAAAATTACTTGATAACACATGCTTTATGTTCTCAGTCTACTAGAATTCATGCTTTGACCTAACATGAAATAAAAATAGGATTGATATTTATTACCTTGGGCTGCTGCTAGGACTATGCCCCATTGTGCTGAAAGAGATCTCCTTAAACTCTCTCTCCCTCTCCAGGTCTGTGTTCTGTGGCTGTGGCACCGTGGGGCAGAGCAGGTGGCAAGCCCTGGCACCTTGCTGAGGCTGGGTGAGGGACACCGTGCCTGTCGCCTGTGGCAACCCTCACTGTCCAGAAGAGGACACTGCAGACAGCAGCGAACCATTAACAAGGCTCCTTCAATAAAGTATGAAAAATTTGCCCAGCCCACTGCAAAAGCTCTATTTCCAAATTAGTGTTTTCAGCTTTTATCCACACAAGAGAGTTACACTTCTGTGAATTCTAGTTACAATTACATGTATTTTACTAGTAACACACACAGGCAGTGTGATTATATTTCAGAATCAAGGGGGAAAATAACAACATAGGAAAAAAAGTCCTAGCCTATTTCCTCTTGAAATACATTTATTTATCTCAGGAGGAACAAAAAGAAAGACAAGGTGGGGGGGGGGAAAGAAAAGAAGGGGGGAAAAAAAAGAAAAGAAAAAAAGTAGGGGAAGAAAAGAAAAAAAAAAAAAAAAAAAGGAGCACGGAGAGCCAAATTCTTTCACAGTGCCTATTTGTTCAGGAGAAGATGCTTGCATGCTTTCAGAAGCATCAGATTGCTTCTGTGTCAGGAATGTGAGGAATAATTTTAAGTACAGAAATTATCAGGGTCTGAATGGAGCTGCCTGATGTCCCTCCTTCCTGAAGAACACATTTAAACAACACTTCAGCAGCACATTCAAAAGACTGCTTAGGACCTGGGACTGCATACAGAGTTGTACTGTAGACCCTGAGAAGCTACCATCAAAGCTCACCATGTGTCAAACAGGACAGCTAAACGTACAACAAAATATTGGACTGTTGCCTTTTTTCTAGGAAAGAACTCAGTGACATGGTCCTATTCTGCTCTGCTGAGCTGGGACTCTCTCTGTACCTGAAACAGGCATCTTCTTTATCAAACCTATATTGCACTATTGAGGACCTTCAATTTTCTGACAGCCTTCAAAGTAACTATTTCCCTCTTACCAGCGAAGCTTAATTTTCCACCTTCACCTTGGCTTTCTGAAGCCACTGAAGTTCAGGCCTGAGGTGTATTATTTGCTTTGCTATACAGCATTTGCTCCCCCAAATTTGGCAGAATTTTGATTATACTGGTTACAAAAACAGACTGCAAAGAGTTAGCAGCAGCAGCCAAAATAAGCCAAGATTGTTTCTGTTTCAATGCAAGCTACCCACAAAAATCCTTTTGGTTTTTAATTGCCACTGTGGTCTAAGACAAACAGCTAATTTTTAAGTCTAAGGTTTATCATTTGGGTGCAGAAATGCTATGTGTGAATCACGCTGGGCAGCTTTGTTCTGTCCCATCCTAACTAGCTATTCCAGAATACTTCTACTGAGGTTTACCAGAAAGTGTTAATGAGGTGTGCTACACGAGGCTAAATGTGAGTGATGAACACCTTGGTTTCAAATGATGCAGCCCTAATTTTGAGATGTCAGAATCCAGTCACCTCTTGTGGGGTTTGCCTGGGCAGCTTGCCTAGGAGGTTTGCAGCAAAATTGACAAGTCAGCTGTCTACCTGCTCAAACTTACTGCTTCAGTCCCCTTACCATCTCCAGATGAGATGCAGAGTAGGATCCAGAAACCACTCCAAGCAAGGAACTCATCCTCTTCTATGCCTTAAGGAAACTCCTTAGGCAAGACCCCTTTCTTGTGTAAACAAGGATTCCCCTCTTCCCTGGAGAAGTACAAAACGACCCCCCAGGTATTTCCACACAATTGGGAAATATCTGTAGCAAGTAATGACACCATCTTTGACATCCTTCATAAATTGGGCATGACTTTCTGCCCCCGAGTTTCACAAATAAAGGAGACTCTGGGATGGAAAAAAGAAGACTCCTTTTCTTACAGTCAGGAACTAAAGCAAAAGAAATGTAAATATTTTGCTCTCAGTCACAAAAAAAAGAGTCCAGCAAGGCCAGGCACTGGATTGGGTCATTGGATGTAGTGACATGAGGCAGCAGTGTGAGCAGTGAGATGTAGGCCACTGCTTCCCACAAGAAGGAAGCAA